CAGGGGCGGATCTAGACAAATATTCATGGGGTGGCAAGAGGGTGGCAGGAGATTTTGAGGGGTGGCATCCCCTGGCAGAAGTATATGCTGATTTAATCGCAGTCATATCAATCAATGTTAACTTTCATTTATTATTGAATAAACTATATTTTTTGGAGGAGTTAATGATGAATGTTCCTCAAGATGCTTGCTCACCCTCCTTCAAATTTGAAAGACAAGTAATTATATCATGTATCAAAATTCAAAAGATTCAAAGGAACAGTTCAGCGCCCCACGACTTTACTGCAAACAGTTACAACCTTGACTTTACATCAGAAAGAACAAACATTAAAGAAGTGACTAATTGCATCAGTTAGGGTTAAAAAACGTGTATTCAGCTAAAACATATACATCGCTGCAGTTATTATCCAGTGGAAAGTCCTTACCTACTGGCCTAGTTCAATCAAAGTTATTACTTTGTTTTGGCTGGGCAGTGTAGTTTTACACACCGTCTTATTTGACTTTCTCAGGACTTAAAACTGTTTTTTGGGGGCAGACCCCCACAAAGAAAAAGAAAAATACACACATACAAGGTCATCATCTTAACAGTTGTTTATGCTCATCGAGTCATCCGTGAGCAGAGCATCAAGTTGGCATGCCTATTACAGCTGAATGCGGCTATTACCATTTTGTTCAGCAAAACGCCTCACAAACGTATTAAGATCAACAGCTTTAGTGCGTTTTGATTCAATGCTGAGTACAGCCAAACTTGACAGTCTCTTCTCCGTCATTGTAGACCGCAAATACCTCATTCCTTCCATCTGCTTGAGTCCGAATGCTTCTCGTTTTGCGCTGTCCCCCCGTTCAAATGAAATCGCCGCCAATCATATTTCCAAGCTCGCACCAGGGCCGGGGGAGGGGTTACAAGACTCGCGTCTTGTGCTGCATTTACTTGCACTCGGACATTAGAGAGTTTCTCTCATAAATGTCCGATGAGCCACAACTTTTCTTTCAAAACAAAGATGCCAACTGGGGTGGCAGCTGGGGTGGCAAGGCTATTTTTTAGGGTGGCAGTTGCCACCCCGTGCCACCCCGGTAGATCCGCCCCTGTGTATAACACATGTAGACATTTTGACAATAAAGCTGACTTTGACTTTGACAGATCAATACTCGCGTGTGAGATTTAATCGATGATATCTGAGCCAGTTTAATCTCTTTTCACTTTTTACTGTGGACTTTTTTACAAATTTCCGTCCTAAAGTCTTTCCACCTCTGTCTCCTACTTCCTCTTTTTCTATGCAGTAATAAGTTATATAAATGTGTACTTTTTAGAAACTTCATTGCACACAGTCCTCTTTCAAATTCATGTTCCCTCCCTTATGTTTTTTTTTCAGTTTCCTTCCTCATCATTCTTGCTCTAATCTTTATAACTATATTAATTTAAGTATGCCCTAAACACCTGAAAACAACACAAACACATTTCACATCCAAACGATACTCCCAGATTAAATCACAGTATGTTTTTACACTGCTGTCTGTCTGTTTCCTTGTATTGTTATGTCTTTAATTCCCTCCCCCCTCCCTCCCCTGTAGTTTAGATCGCGTGAGGAGTTGGCAGCAACTCTCCACACACACTCACACAAACACACACACTTCCCCAGTCCCCACTGCTCTCTCTCTCCCTCGCCGTCCCGCCTCATGCACATAAACAAATATGACGTCACCTAGTCTCGACTCACACTCGGGCACGGGTCACACACAAACACACGCACGCATGCACGCACACTTTATAAGGGTGCAGCAGTTGGTCCCCTCATGGAGCTGTCTGTTCGCTCTGTGCAGGAAGACAGACATAAATGGTTTTGTTTACCACCGAGCTGAAAGCACAGTCAGAGACTTCTTCTGTATAGCAGTTAGAAACAAAAGTAGGAGGAAAGGAGGGAGATTGTGAAGGAGAGAGGGAGGGAGGGTTAACCACAGGCACGTGAGGTTCAGACCGTTCAGAGTAGCATCTTTAACTCACACACTTGTTTATCCTCTCGTTCAAGTGTTTCATTATTCCACACCATGCAGCATGGAGTCTCTTTTTCTGTTCTATATCCTTCTCCTGTTCACAAAAATAAGAATATGTGTCCTCCGTCTTCACAAGAAATCAAACAATCAGCTTCTAGGATTTGCTCCTTTCCACCCAGGTATCATTATGGTCCAACTTCAATTATTTGGCTCTCTTGCGTTCAAAATGCTGAAGCAGCTGTAAATGATCCCTGAAGCACCTCAAGAACAATCAGTCAAACTCATTTAAAAAACAGGTTCCAACCCTTCATCTGTGTCTAAATTAATGAATTGTCTGGCATAGCTGCTGCCATGCATGCCAACAGAACAAAGGGAACACCATTGACTTGCATGAAGTTACAATCATGTGATAAAGTCAAGTGCAGTTTGTAGGGCGGGTCATTAAATGCGCATTTTTTAGCATCTTGGCCCGCCTTAAAAATGTCAGATATTGAATGATCCAACTGTTTTATTATCTCGGCCAGGGGAAAGTTTGGTGAAGTGTGTGTTGATCTCTCTCTGTCCGCCATTAACCTCTCATGCAACAGTCTTATATATTTTTGTGGTGATTTTTGACAGTATGCTCAAGGACTTGTCCTGGTTGCAGTGATTCTCAATTTGGATAAAATATATATTTTATTGACTGCTTTAAACCGTCATTAATCTTTCTCAAATGTTCTCAACTGCTTCCTTAACGAAAGACATTTCCAAATATCAGCAAAAAACGAACCTCACATTGTTTGTTGCAGGACACTTTTTTTATTTTTATGGCTTACTGACATTAGGCGCGTTCACACCAAGTACTTTGCCGTACTCAGTGCCGGCACTTAGTGCCCCGGCACTTATTACCCCAGGGCACTTAGTACAGATCGAGCTCACACCAAGTACTTTGCCGTATTTAGTGCCAGCACTCAGTGCCCCGGCACTTATTACCCTTGGGCATTTAGTACAGATCGCGCTCACACCGGAATAAATTCCCTGAGGGAAGATTACGCAAATGAGCCGCTGACGTCACTTCGTCTTCTTCTGCTTTGGGTTTACTGGCAGGCCGCAAACAACTTCACGGCGTATACTGTCACCCGAAGTCCCCGGCCGGAAGTCCCCGGAGTTGGGGACTGGCTTCAGTAGAAGCTGCTGGGACTCCCAGCAGCTTCTACTGAAGCCTTCCGAGTAAATCGCCAGAACACCGACACCTCCTCATCTCCACCGCTCCCATGTTTTATTTTGTGTTGCCATAAGTTAGTCTCTCTGCGTTTGTGCGCTGGGCGAATGCTAATGCTAATAATGCTAATGCCAGGATAATAAAATGGCGGCTCTACAAAACATTTCAGAGTTGTACGGGGCGTGGTTTGCAATTCGCCCAGCCAATCAGAACTGGGACACTTTTTCCCCCAGGAAAGTACCATCTCTCAGCAGGCACTAAAAATGGGGGTAAAAGTTCCCGAGATGAAGTACTCTTTTTGGTGTGAACGCGACATAAGGGGTACTAACGGAACTAAACGCGAAAAGTACGGTGAAAAGTACTCCGGTGTGAACGCGGCTATTGAGAGAGAAGTTATGTCCTATTTTGGACTACACATTAATTCCATACCTTGTATGTTATCATCCACTTAAGTTCATTTTGTGCCTTTTGTTTTGAACTCTTTGGTGCCACCTTGACTGAATATTCTGGACTAACGTCTCTTTGTATGTTTCTCTGTCGCAGGGTGCCGTCCCGCTCTGGCAGGACTGGAGAGACGTCTGCCGAGGATTCTTCAACTTCGTCACCCAGACTCTCAGCACTCTGTACAGGATCACATAGGAGAGTGGTTACCATGGCGACTTTATGCATCCAGGAGTGTGGCTAGGGAATGGAACAAGTCCGACTGGTTGCTGCACTGTTTTAATCCCGGAGGATTTATGTGACCCGAAATCAAGACCTTTTTTTTTGGGAAGAAAGGGAGGGATGTGAGGGCGCCCCCTGTGGCTGAGCTCTGAGTCAGAGTGCTGTGGAGCTGTCTGTCTGTCAGTCTGCTGGAACAGACTGCAGCTGACGGACCGCCTGCCGTTTTCATTCCTGTATATTTTGTAAAATCCACTGGCTGTCTCTTCCGGGGCTCATCTCTTCCATCAGTGTGTGTGTGTGTGTGTGTGTGTGCACATGGTAAAGGTCATTGGTTCCAACGAATAGGTTAAACTACAGATATTTCAAATCTGGCCTTTTTTTTTATACCCCAGATGAGTTTATAGGTCAGCTGTTTTGGAAGTGAAGTTCTTCATGGGTCACTGGAGCGTTTTCATTTAGCTTTAATATCAGTGACCATTTACTGGAGGATGTGTTCTTATTTCCAAAATGGATGAAATCCCTCCAATTTGTTCCCTTTGTTTACGTACAAAGATACAGAACTGACCTGTGTCTGACGTGAGTGTTACTGTCTTTATTTTGTATTATTATAAACTGTGAAACTGGACGCTGAGTTTGCATCGCAGGGACAAATGTTGGATGTTATTCCACAGAGTGAAGCTCTCTCCCAATCAGAGACCTCTTCCTCTCAATACACCACGTGCCTTCTGCTCAGTGACTCCTGCAACCAGTCTCTGAAAACCAGGACAATCTGACACACACACACACACACACACACACACACACACACACACACACACACACACACACACACACACACACACACACACACACACACACACACACACACAGCGGTTTAAGTTAGCAAGTGTCATTTGCATCACATTTAAATGCTAAGGCCTCAGCACGGTTTGAGGTCATTTAAGGACAGACACACGTTCCTCTGTTCATCCTGCCGGTGTTAGAGCAAAGTGTTTAAAGATGCAATCTGTAAATATTCTTTTGGAAGGTTCATCTGTTTTTTATGGACTTTGAAAGTGCTTATGAAAGCGAGAGAGTTCACAGTTATGTTTGTATTTCTGAGCGGCCGTTAGCATCAGCAGAGCGAAATTAAATCCAGTGGATTTGAAATGGTATTCCAAGATTTAAAGAAAAATATATGATTTGGACCTTTTGATTGTTAAAAAGTATTTGATGATGTTTTGTAAAACGACCCCTTCAGTTACGCGATTACGTTCCATGTACTTTGGGAGAAGATGTTTATTGCTCATATGAAGAGCATCATTTATTTGTGGATGTAGCCTCTATCTGTAGCGTGTTTTCTTTTGTTTGATTGTTTTTTACGCAATGCATTATTTATTTATTTTCTTACATTCCTGATCAAAACTATGATTTAAGCTGTATTTGAGTTGTAACTGTTAAAACACAGATTGAGAGCTAAAGCTGTTAAAAACACCCAAAGTAGATCATTTTGGAAAAGCAGAAGAAATGAATCATTTAGAATGTTGTCAGCTTTATGAATTGGTACCTTTGCTTGCCACAAAAAGTAAACGGCTCATTCAAATAAAACGCTATTCTGTTTTTAAGCAATGGTCCTATTATTATTATTATTATTATTATTATTAGCAATACGTTTGGCGGTAAAGCACAAAGGGTTTATTACTGGATGGCACATGTTTCTCCAGACTTCCCATGTGTATATCAGAGGAAATGGAAAGCACCAGAAATCTTCCTCTATACAATCAAAAGCACTGAAAGAAACAAATCAAACTGTTAGCAATACTTTACAAGATTCAAGATTGAAAGGTTTATGACATGTACAAAACTACAGTGTAATTATAGTGTATGAAATACTGAGATCGCAGGTGCAATTTACTCTGACTGAACTGAAAACCACTGAAATTCACCCGGGTATTTCTGATGTAAATGTAATTCAAAAACTGTGTGCTAATGGTGCTAGACTGAAAAAACTGAAACGACTTTAAATAAATGTATTAGTTCAACAGATTTAACATAACTGTATAGGGTTAGTTGACCTTAATATTATTGCTTTCAACTATCCTAATACAGTTATGTTAAATCTGTTGACATTATACATTTAATTAAGGTCAGCGTTTCACTTTTGTCAGTGTACACATGCTAGATTGTACATGTAATTACCTCTAACATACATTGGATTAAAGTGCCCGTTTAGTTGAGGATTTCAACTTTTATTGGATTAGACTGAAACATGGACCTTTGGATTGCTTTAGATTCAAGATCCAAAGTTTTACTGTCATATATAAACACCACTACGGTGTAGTTATGTAATGTATGAAAAACGCAGGTTCCTCAACAGTGCAATCGACAAGACATTAGAGAACTTTAAAAGATTGAACGAGGAAGTGATTGTCTGTTTCACTGTGCAGCTCTCACCTGGCCTTAGCTTCACTGTTTTGTATATTTGTTGCAGAAGAACCTTGTTTTGTTCATTTCTGAAAGCCTTGATGTATTGTTCCTGATGGACCGGCTGGTTCTGCAGAGGACCAGCTGTTTGATGCCTGTGTTCATGTTCTTGGTTCTGTTATCTGGCAGTGTTTCCTCTTCACTGCGTCATGTGCTGCAGTCCTGATGCTGCCCCCCCCCCCCCAGCGGCGCTCAGTGTCACTCACATGCAGTGTGTTTTTGCTGTTTTTAAACCTTTTGCTATTGTAAACTTTCTACATGATTTTGTACTTTGTTTCTTTTTCATACAATAAAGATAAGGATAAATATATTCACTTGTTTGGTGTTTTATGTCTAACATTATATGAAGTAGAAGAAGTGTGCTCTGTATAAACGGAAAAATACAATATACGTTTTTTTAATAATAAGAGCTAATAGTTTGTTTTTATAAAATAATTATTAAAACAGTAAAAATAAAATATTTTTGATTTTTCTGTTGTTGTTTTACCATAAATCCTGTTTCATGTTGAAACCCTTAGAGTTAGTGTGTGAATAATTTAAAATACAAAATGATTCTGATTGATAATGAGTCTTAGAAGCTCCAGTAGTTTGACAGTTCAGGATTATATCTTTTAAAGGATGATTCTGGGTCAGTAGCTGCCGGCCCGCCCCCGTTGGAACACAGAGGCACAATGTGAGCTCCAGAGAGGAGACAGAGATTTCTACCGGCAGATAGACATAAACGCTGCCGTGATGAAATGCCATATCATGTTCCAAACCACATCAAGGATTATTTCTGAAACAGTATGGAGCTCAAATGCTTTTCTCTTGCATGTTTACCACAAGGTGAGTTCCTTTTTTTATTTCCTGCTTTTTTACACATACTCTCTCCACAGCTTAGCTCTGAGTGTTAACGATGCTTGCTAATGTAAACAAAGACCATATTACGTCCAAAACATGTCGCGCATTGTTTCTGATAGCGACATTTCTGATAGGACCTTGGGTGTAAAGCCAGCGCACATTTCCGATATTACGTCATATCGGCAGCAAATCTGGATCAGCTCCGTTGTTCCCCGTTTTTAGAGATTTGGGTACATTTTGCATGATAGGAGACCTTTGACATCAAACCACACTTAAAGTTATATACAAAAGTAAAAGTAATGCAAAATGGTCCATTTCAGAATAATAGTAATATATATATATAATTGTATTATATAACAACTGACGCATTATTGTGTTCATCACTTTAACTATTTAGTTCTAACTATTTACTGGGTTCTGAATTTGTATCAGTAAAAAGTTTGACCTTAATCTATTGCAATAGTTCATAATTAATTGGTTGAATATATTTTGTATTATAAAGCTTAATTTGCAAAGCATCTAAAACTGTATGGAGTGTTATAAATGCAATAGAGTGAATTTGTCTCTGAATTGTAGTGGAGTAGATACTTTAAATAGAACAACCTTAGGTAAAGTAGAACTTTCCCAAAGTTGTACTCGAGTACAGTGGTTGACTAAATACAGTTACATTCCCCCACTGTCAAGTAAGAAAAGCCTCTCATGAGACTCTTTTGCTCAAAAAGATGAAATAAATTAAATAAATTCATAAATCCCAGTTCTATTCATTGAGAGCCTCAAGAGTAGACGATGACATTAGCCGCGTTCACACCGGAGTACCTTTCACCGTACTGTTCGCGTTTAGTTCCGTTAATACCCCTTAGGCGCGTTCACACCAAGTACTTTGCTGTATTTAGTGCCGGCACTCAGTGCCCCGGCACTTATTGAGCCGCTGACGTCACTTCGTCTTCTTCTGCTTTGGGTTTACTGGCAGGCCGCAAACAACTTCACGGCGTATACTGCCACCCGGAGTCCCCGGCCGGAAGTCCCCGGAGTTGGGGACTGGCTTCAGTAGAAGCTGCTGGGACTCCCAGCAGCTTCTACTGAAGCCTTCCGAGTAAATCGCCAGAACGCCGACACCTCCTCATCTCCACCGCTCCCATGTTTTATTTTGTGTTGCCATAAGTTAGTCTCGCTGCGTTTGTGTGCTGGGCGAATGCTAATGCTAATAATGCTAATGCCAGGATAATAAAATGGCGGCTCTACAAAACATTTCAGAGTTGTACGGGGCATGGTTTGCAATTCGCCCAGCCAATCAGAACTGGGGCACTTTTTTCCCCCAGGAAAGTACCATCTCTCAGCAGGCACTAAAAATGGGGGTAAAAGTTCCCGAGATTAAGTGCTCTTTTTGGTGTGAACGCGACATAAGGGGTACTAACGGAACTAAACGCGAAAAGTACGGTGAAAAGTACTCCGGTGTGAACGCGATCTGTACTAAATGCCCTGGGGTAATAAGTGCCGGCGCACTGAGTGCCGGCACTAAATACGGCAAAGTACTTGGTGTGAACGCGCCATTTGATTTACTCTGGGACAAATTTCACTGTGGACTGTGATTTTGGATGCGGCTGCTCTGAGAGGACAGATGCAGATGTTTACAGATGTTGGTGCTCTGGGGGCGGAGCAGGGGATGGACAGACAGCTCTGGGGTGTGCTTCACATCTGGAGAGCAGCAGGGATTAAGACATATCAGGTCAAGACCCTCGCTGCCCACTCACTCACTCACACACACACACACACACACACACACACACACACACACACACACACACACACACACACACACACACACACACACACACACACCATTACTGAGTCAACAGGCAGTATTGAGACGAGTTATCCTCACTTAAACTCCTCAGCAGGACGAGCCAATCAGGCAGCCCTTAGAGCAAAAGCAGGGATCTGATTGGCTGCAACAGCAGACACTTGGTGTTTGCTGCTACGTGGAGAGAGTGACCACACAGCAGGGGCACCAGGCTTGGATTTAACACTGTGTATGTGTGTGTGTGTGTGTGTGTGTGTGTGTGTGTGTGTGTGTGTGTGTGTGTGTGTGTGTGTGTGTGTGTGTGTGTGTGTGTGTGTGTGTGTGTGTGTGTGTGTGTGTGTGTGTGTGTGTGTGTGTGTGTGTGTGTGTAGAGGATGGAGAGAAATGACAGCATAGTCAGCATGTAGAGTGTGTGAGAGCTCATTGGCTGTTTGTGTTGCGGATAAGAGCGGAGGTTTAATTAAAGGGGCAGATTGAGTTTAATGCGATGTCCCATAATTAATCTCCTCTCCTAATCCCAGTAAAAGAGCAGTGGCACCGAGCAGCTCCTGGGTTCCATTCCAACACTCTTGTTTTGCTCCTCTTGTCCTGATCAGCTGCAAACACCCCTCACAGTATACTTCTGTTACTTAATATGTAGTATTCATTATTTTCTAATTCTGCCCCACAAACCTCCCTGTGTTGTACTGACAGAACACCCAGTGTGTGAATGGACACATCATGTTTTGTATGTTTTTAATTCAATTGTCACACATGCTGCTTTTCTTGTACAGTAAATGTCAGGGAATGAAATAGTATGTTCATTGTTTATTCAGCAGGGTTGTATCAAAGAACAGTGACTCTCATTTACTTCTTCCTAAAATGTAAAACGATGTGCGTTTGAAAAGTTAGAATGACACATAAAATGTTGAATATGGGATAACCTACTAAAGTCTCTGAATACCCTTATTATTATAGTATGACATGCTATTTTATTATTTAATTAAGGGAAGTAATCATTTGTCAATATTATCCCTCGACAAATGCTCATTGTCTGGTAAGTTTTTCCTGGGGAAAAGTCCCCTAACATACACCATATAGTAGTGATTCTTCATCTAAAATGGGGATCAATTTCAGGGTTGTCTGCTTGAGGCCCCCGAGCAGAAAGATGAAGAGAAGCATCCCCTCTTAGCAGAAAGATGAAGAGAAGCATCCCCTCTTAGCAGAAAGGTGAAGAGTAGAATCCTCTCTCATCAGAAAGTTGAAGAGAAGCATCCTCTCATCTCGAACGACCTCGTGCTGGGGGTGCTCTCTGCAGCCGGAGAGTGTGACCCTCTCTCTCTGACCCTTGGCCTTGAGAGCTGTCCTAGTTATCGGCACAAGACCTGATAGGGATGATTTCTGAGTGATGACAACTCAAAGTAATGGATTAGCACATTATCATTTAATTACAAAAATAGGATAGGCCCCTCAGAATAATTTGGGAGCCTTCCTGACACATGCACATTATCATTTTGAAGGTTTGTGTTAGTCATTTAACATCCAAGAATCATATACTCATCAGTCCATAGCAGAGACATGTTATTGTAAGTTAAAGGTGAGCTAGTCCCTGTGGATATAACCCCTTACCAATGATTCTAAATGTTATATTAATTCACCATTTACGTTTTGATAAAATATTAGTTTATCAGAAATACATTGTCTCTTCCATAAAACATAGGTTTGAGAAATAAATTACCCAATATAAAATAAATTACTCAATATAAAATAAATTACTCAATATAAAATAAATTACTCAATATAAAATAAATTACTCAATATAATTGACTCTTCCCTCCCTTTTCTTACATATGTTACATATGAAATAATAACTTAGGAGTAGGGTTGGGAACTGAAACTCGGTTCCACCGCCCGGCACCGCCCTTCATTTTTTTAAACGGCATCATGTAAGTTGACAGGCGGCAGAGGTCCACAGTTGCCCCGCAGCGAGGCTCCCCCCGCCCTCCCGTAGACAGTTCACGAGCTCAGTCACTTCATAACACCAAAGATGGGTCGCGGTAAACGCTCTAAAGTGTGGCTCCACTACACTAAAAAAGAAAAAGACAAGGCACAGTGCAATGCCTGTGGCAAGTTAATAGCTTGCCACAGGCATTGCTCAGTTAAAATAAAGCACAGCTATTGTGTAATACATTTGTATTGCATATATTTTTTTTATTTGTAAAAATGTCAGTTAAAGCTTAAAAGAATAAAGATATTTCTGTTATCTAAACGTTTGACCTCTTTCTTTTACAATTTTGGAATCGAAACGGGGAATCGATAAGAACCGGAATCGATAAGCAGAATCGGAATCGGAATCGGAATCGGAATCGATACATTTCAAACGATACCCATCCCTACTTAGGAGTCTAATTAATAATCTATTAATCGAGAAGACTCAGTATCACCTGTGTGCAGCTTACAAAAATCTATTGTGAGAAACGAGGGGTTACGTATGGTAACCCTTGTTATATAAGCACAGGCGGAGCCCTCTACTGGACTCTATGGGTACTACCTTATCATGCAAGCATTCACCTACTGAGACTTCTATAGACGGGCCTACCTGAATGCGCGCGCATCTCACCGTATAAAAGGAGGCCTCGCCTCCTGACTGTCATCCTACACCTCTCTTCAGCGAGCGCTATAGGACAGAC